GAAGAAGTTGATGAGAAAATTGATCAAATAAAAAACCTTTGTAAGAAGGCACCGTTTCATTTTTTTTTTTTTTTGTCTAAAAAAAAAAAAAAAATATATACATATATATATATATTTTATCCCACAATTTCTCTTAATTTTCAAAATGATTGTATAATTAGTAAAATTTTATACCATAGTGCCTAGACACAACGGAGAAACCTTTAATCCGCTATCGCCTAATGAGACATAATTGTTCACTTTTGTGAGAAATTCTTGCGTAGATGTAGTATCGGTGGTCATTCTATTCGGTTATGCAATGTATGAATGGTTCAAATTTTTTTTGCCCTTGCTGAAATTTGTCTACAGAAGCCTCCAAAGCATTTACAACTTGTTATTTATATATCTAAACTTTTGTAAAAATCAAAAGTTTGTTAACTTAATTTGTGCATCAATCAATTCGGAGAATATTGATATCTAAATTCAGTTAGATAATATATACTGGTAAACAAAGTTAGTGTATACGTCATCTTTATGGAATTCCACCAATTCTCTTACAATAGTAGCATCCAATATTGTTACTTCATTTCTTACTTGAGCTTTGCTAATGAGCCCTCGCGAATAAATTTGTCTTATGAGCTAGATGCAATCAGTGGCGTCTTTTTTAAAGAGCAAATTCTATTCCGCAGATTTCCGGATACTCTGCGAAGGAAGTCAAGAAAGTCTTTTTATTAAATAGTGGAAATTTCAATCGGTCTCAAGAAAAAAATTTTTTTATTTATTTTTAATTGATAAAATAACGTGTTTGGAGATTCTTAAATGAAGAGTAATCTTTCCGATCGAGGATTTTCTGTTCGGAAGTTTTAATTACCATTTCCAAGGAATTTACCGACGGTCGCAATTTATTAACCCTTTATATTTGCAATTTCTATAATAGTCGGAATACCGGGTTCGACCTGTTGTTGACAGCGCGAATTTCGGATGATTAAATTGTGAACTGACATGTAACGGATTTCTTTATGGAACTTGCTGAATTCACTTTTATGAAGGTTAAAAGGCGGCTGCTTCATTCTCACAATGTCGACGCAAACAAATGTTCTATTATTGTGAGGATTTATTAAACTATATGATTATTGTCATGGATTTTTAACATGTTAAGAAAAACGATAAACCTATATTCTTCAATTGGGATTATTTTCGAATTTATTATATACGTATATATATATTATTTATTTACTTAAACGATCGTATTACTGTAGGTTGTATCGTGAAAAAAAAAAAAAAAAAAGAAAAAAAGAAAAAATACAATATAGATACAGTATATATATACTGTATATTTTTCGAGAAACGTTTTACATTCTTAGTGAATTGACGAAAATTAAAAAAAATTTTAATAAATTAATTATTATTATTATTATTATTATTTTAAATGAAAAGTAGTAAACCGGTTTGTCAACAATTGATTTTTTTATTGATCGATAAACTGAATTGATTTATCGGAAAATTTATTAAAACTTGATTTTAAAAAAATAAATTGTTAAAACTATTGATGCAGAACTAAAGTTGGTCCGTAGAACTGTAATATTTGCAATTCCAAGTTAAATAAAAAAAAATTTCCGTTACGAAACCCATTTATTTACTTTGCTCTAATTTCATTTAGTTGTTGGTCAATCATTATTTTTATTTCAGTATATGCTTTTATTTAAAAATTAATTACATCTTTAATAACAATATCATACAGTAAGTCGATCGGGGAATGTTATTTATCAGTGGGTCTTATTTCTCTAAAATGGTTAAATTAAACATGAATGGATTTTCATATTACTTTGTGCTGTCGCGGAAACCGAAGAACCGCGGAATTAAAACTGAAGTAAGACACAAAAGTAAGGATCAACTTTATACAGTTATGGTATACGTATTCTTGCGCCACCGGAATTTGACGTTGCCGATCATATACATTTTAACTCTCGGAATTTCTTTTTTTTCATCAAAGAAATTCTAGAACATTTTGAATAAATAGAAATTGGATATTTTAACAGAGAATATTCCTTTCTGCGCACAAGTAAATGCATTGTGAGATAACATAAAAATGCGATAAATTTCCCCTACTCCGAATGTTATCTAAACCTCTAAACCTTTATTGCTCATATATAAATAGCACAAAGCTAGCTTATACGGAAAGCTTTCTTGTACAAAATAATGTAACCCTATTTTACTGCATTGACTAACGCAGAATCTAGCCCCGAACGTTGTTCTTCCTTCATAAGAATTCTACAATTCACCACCACCGAAAAACTTCTTTTCGAACAAATACGTCGTGCATCCTAGAAATCTAAAAAAGAAACTTATAATGTCTCTATCTTTTTATTCCGGTAAGAGAAATGAAGGGAAGAAACAACCGTTTATAAAATTAGGAAAATTCATCAAAAAATCGTTTTCGAACAGTAGACCGAATAACATCACAAACGATGAGGCTAGTAGTAGCAAACACAATTCCGATATCACAAATAGATCCACGGATCAACAACCTAATGGTACCTTAAAAGAGGGAGTCGAGATGGTAGAGAACAACCATGATTACCCAACGGATGAGTTGAATAAACTCAATGAGGGTATTAATCAACTATCTCGAAGATTTGATTCTCTTGAGAAAAGAATTGAACTAGTTAAAGGCGACGAGATAAATGAATCGCTAAGGGATATATTAACTAGAATCACGGAGAGTTTTAATCAAAAATTTGATTCCTTAGAAAAGAGATTCGGGTTGGTCAAAGGAGATGGGATGGATGAAACTCCAATTGCCACTTTAACAAAAATCACGGAGAGCGTTAATAGACAATCCCAAAAGTTTGATTCGTTAGAAAAGGGATTCGAACTGATTAAAGCAGACAAGATGAATGAATCCATAACGACTGCTTTGAATAAAATCACGGAAAGGATCGATTCCTTAGAAAAAAGATTTGAACTGGTTAGAGGTTCTGAGATGAATGAATCCGACTTAACTAAAATCACGGAGAGTATAAATCGACAATTCCAAAGATTTGATTCCTTAGAAGGAAGGATCGAATTAATGAAGGATAATAGTGTTGATGGGGGTGGTGCCAACGAAAAATTTAAACAAAATTTTGAATCCTTGACGACTGTCATAAATATGAATGCGGAGAGTATTGATGCTTTGGAAAAACGGGTTGAAGTTCTAACGCAAAAAGTTTTAAAGGCTTGTGAAATTTCGAAAGAAAAAAACGTTTCTTCAAACCCTCCCGTTAAACCGACTGCTACTTTATCCATTGATTCAAATCTCGGTACCTGCAAAAGATGTCATTCCGAAAAGTCCGATAATGAATGGTGTTTGGTCTGCGATCCCAAATACTTCATTGACCACTTTTCCGACTGGACTAGCGGTAATCCAGACGTTGATCGCTTCATACAGGCAACTCAACGTAACGCCTCCAATAAATTCAACTTCCTAGAGTGGATACCCTATACTAGTCTTAAGGATGTTAGTCTGCTAGGAAGCGGAGGTTTTGGAACAATTTATTCCGCAATATGGGTCGATGGACCAAGATCAAGATGGTTGCACGAGACTAACGGGTGGGGAAGATATCCGAACGCTAGGGTGGCCTTAAAGAGTATTGAACTTAAAAACTATCAATTCGACACTACACTTTTAGACGAGGTTAGTAGATCTTTAATACTGTACTAGAAATGTTAATTAACGGCGGTTATTTTGAGATGAATACTAAATTTAATTGTCAACTTGCAGTTACAATCTTATCTTGCCGCAAATAAGAACGTTCTTGGTCGTCTCAACACGCTTCGTGTATATGGCGTGACAAGAAAACCCGAGGAACCCGAGAATTATATGATAGTAATGCTTCTCGGTGATGACGGAGACTTGGATCGCTATATAAACAAAAACTTTTCAAGTTTAACTTATTTTAAGAAGCTTGAAATTCTTTTTGATATAATTACTGGAGTTTTGCAAATCCACCAGGCTGGCCTTGTACATCGAGACTTGCACCGTGGAAATATAATGTGTCAACGATTTGTAAAATTAGATGAGGGAAGGGACGAATGTAAATTTGTAATCGGAGACTTAGGGTTAACTAGAAAACCATCGCCCGAGTCTAAAGTCTTTTATGGGGTGGTACCTTACTGTGCGCCCGAAGTGTTAGAATCTGCTATTTATAGTGAGGCTTCGGACATCTATAGTTTCGGGATGCTAATGTGGGAATTAGCAGCAGGTGTAAGAGCATTTTCTAATCGCAAGCACGATGAATCATTAATGTTCAGTATTATTTTTGGCTTAAGGCCTCAACCAATACCACATATTCCGAATTCTTATAAGACACTGATGGAAAGATGCTGGGCCCCTAATCAAACTGATAGACCGAGCGCTCAAGAGATTTATACAACCATTGGAATATGGTTACAGAAATTGCTATTCACACCGTATAAAGGGATCTCCCAAGAGTTTCTGGAAGCAGATGAGAAACGATTAGTTAGGTTGTCGATTGAAGGGTTATCCTCAGATGAAAAATATCATAGTAAGACTTATCATACGGTAAATCGTATGGGATTTACTCCACTTCCAATAGGTATGTATTTGATAATTAATCCCTTCCCTATGCTTTATATAATACTTATTATTGGTTCCTTTATTTATTTCCATCAGGACAATTGGAAGACCAACCACCGGTAAAAGAAGAGGTGGAAAGCGATGATGATTGGGTGGGCGCTTCTTAAGAAAGACGTGTACATGAAAATGAATAGATAACGTAAAAATCACCGTTGAAAATGTTCAGCTTTCGTTTATTTTATTTTTTTATTCTTCTTGTAATATGTAGATCAAACATTATTTATTTTTCATGCACGATCTTGTATTTCTACTTGTATTTATAGTGTATTTATTTGAAGTTTGTAACTAGTGACTTGATTGGATTGGGTCTCAAACTTGATTAATAGAGAATGTGACGCTTATGTAATCTCACACTTAATGTAATATATTCTTACGTCCTCATGTTTAATATAATTTTTGTTAGACCATCTACTGTATATCATAATTTTTGCTCGATGTTGATGCCTCGTTAATCGAACGTGCAACTAATCAACCATATCATTCATTATTTGTTACTAACTCCAATGAATAAAGTAAATCTGATCTTTAGAGTGCAATGCATTTTTCCGTTCTACGCATTTTAAAAGCATGATATTGATTCTTTTTTGGTCAGATCGATATTTTCTCTAAATGCTGCCGAGTTCGTCAATCGAAAAATTATTTTACTTTAGCATAACAGAACAGTCTAACAACTGCTCTAACCATCAAATCCTATTATGATCTAAAAAGAAAATGGTAAGTCTGATTTTTATTGCATGATTACTAGGGAGGAGCTGCAGAAATTGCAAATATTTCATTAATAATTATAATTTTTTTTTTTAAAAAAAAAAAGATAACAATAATAAATATTTAAATGTATTTCAAATTAGTTCTTTTTTAAAGAAAAATTGATTTATTTTATTAAATTAGTCAAATTCAAAAATAATTGGCAAAATATAATTTCTGTATTCATTAAGTTTATTTGTTTTCCAGTTTTATTCTTTATAAATCCACAAATAATGTTATACAGTATTTATATACAGTAGTGATTCGCAAAAAATCAAAAGCAATTATTTTATTTTTATTATAAACTTCAACTTTAATGTTTCTGATTTTATAATAATATATTCAAAAATTAAATAAAATATAGATACAGCACTTCATATATATTTTAAAAAATTTTTTGATATATATTTTTTAAAGTTTTACTACTATTAAGAAAAAAATTTTTTATATATTATATTTGATTAAACGATCATATATTATTTATAAATATTTATATGGTATTAAAATTATAACTATAAATAATACTTTTATTTTTATATCTTTATCAATTCAATTCTAAATATAATTTTGAGATTAATTTATTATTTTATTTAATTATAAATATATTATCTAAAAAAATCTGATTTATTATTTTCGAATCTTATATTAATATTCAAAATATAATTAAGAAACTATAAATACTTTAACTAAAAAAATTTTATGTTACCTTAAAAATAATTATTAATTTAAATTTTTTAATTTTAATTTCAAATTATTATAAATATATATAATATAAATAGTTTTATAAATATTATAAATATTAATATTACAAATTTAATTTTGATAAATATTAAACAACAATTATAATAAAACAAACTATTAATTTGAAAAATATATTATAAATTATAGAATATTTTTTTATAATTAAAAAAATAAATTAAAAATTTTTATTTCTTATACATATAGATTATTCAAAAAAACAATTATAAAAGCTAAAATAGAGTATAAAATAAATATTACTTGAATTTAAATTAAAGACAATAATATTATTAACTATTTTTTAATATAATCTTTTTTATAGTTCTTAATAACAAAAATAAAAATATCAACAATTTTAATAATAATATTTTTTTTTATCACAAATGAGTAATATATGCTAGTTTTTATTAGAAAATTAATTCATAAACAGTTATAGGAATAGTCTTTACAAGATTGTAATATCTAAATAAATTAATTAATGCCTATTATAATTATTCTATTGTTATACACTTGCAGTTTGTGACTGAATATGCCAAAATAAGATTGAATAGCAATTACACATTCAAAAATGATACTAATACTGCTAAAGATAAAATTAAATAGTTGATAGAATTTGAGAATATATTTGATATTGCTAAAATAGTACTGAAAAATTTATGAGATTGTTTTAATAGTTGATTATTAAAGGATAACCTAGTTGCTTTTATGAATTTTTATTTGATGCCATTGAATGATACTTTAGTTGCAGTAATGAATCTTTCTTTTCATATTCAATATATAATTTTTAATGCCTTGTTCATAATTTTAACTTTTACCTTATTATTATGGATTTGATCGAAAATTTAATTAAAGATTTCCAGAAAGATATTTAAAAAAGTTCTACTATTTGCTGGTATAATAGTTAAATAATGAGTATTTGCTTATATAGATTAATTTCTTTTTTTTGTTTTATTTTTGTAGAATTTCTTTGAGAAGGTTTTTAAGTTTAAAAAGTTTTTTATTGAATAGTTTTAGATTCTCTATGTACTTGAAGACATGTTTTTGATTTTTAGTTATATTATTTTACTGGGGACACTTGAGTGATTGATAAAGAAAAAGGTATTTGTTGTAAAGTTTGATTCTGGTGAGAAGACCATTGAAGAGAATTTTGATTCTGAATGCAAATAATGATCAGAAGAGGTATTTGTCAATATACCAACACTTTTTATTTGCTTTTTTTAATAACATCATTTTTTATTTTCAAAATAATAAAATAACTATATATAAAGCTATAATATAATTTTTTAAATACCTTTAATTAAAGTAGTCACAGTTTATTAATCAATTGAAAATATAAATAAATTTTTACTCAAGTAGCATAATATAAATTATAGCTAAATCTAATAAACTTGTTATAAACAATAATAGTTTTTAAGTTTATTCTTGAAGATAATATTTTATTCTATATTAGTTTTTAAATAAAAACTCTATTAGTTTATCACTTTATTGTTAACAGGCTAATATTGCCAAATATCTTATCAAATTACTGGAATATATAAAATTACAAATGAATAGGTTGAAAAAAAGAGAAAGAAGAATATTTAAAATATTCAAATAAATTATAAAAAAATAAAATATAAAAAAAAAAATAAAATTCTTTGGTTTTATCCAAAAACATACTTTTTAAGACTTTTTTTCAATATAAATACTTGATTAAAATATTCTTTCTTCTTTTAATTATCTAAAACACTTATCAATTTTTAATTTAGATTTCTTTATTATATATCATTTAAGTTGATTTATTATCTAATAGAAATCTTTACTTCCATAAATATAAATAGTTTCAATCTTCTTTAAACAATAATTTTTTATTCATCTACAGTAAATAGATAACTTATAATAAATTTCAGATTCTTATATGACTTAATAGAGACTAAGCCATATTGTTTTAGTATAATATTTTCTAGCAATCACATCTAATTAAAAAAATTTTGCCAATACATCTTTTATTATTCAAAAAGTCTGATTTTCAACAATATTTTTGCCTTATAATAGTAAAAAAGTCTTAAAGAGATGATAATTCTCATCGATTGGGATATCTTTCAACAATTTTTAAGAAAATGTATTTCTAATTAGAACTAAAGAAATGGAGCTTAGTATGAATTAGAACTACTTAATCTTATTACATGATTAAAATAAAAAAGAAATCTTGATTTTAAACTTTGCTTGATCAGAATAATAAGAGAAAAAGATTTTAGTTTGTATAAATAATAGCTTTTTTATTACCTGATACTTGTACTTGTATCTTATTGTTTTTATAAAACTTGATTTATAGATTAATTTAATTGAAAAAATAAATCAGAAATAAGTTACTAATCAACTTTTTCTATCACCAATAATATTATTAAAACACATGAATATAATTAATGAAAACTTGTGTTTTTTTTTTTTTTTTTTTTTTTTTTTTTTTTTTTTAAAGGCTAGCTCATTCCTGCATCAGTTTTGAAGCTTTATTAAAGTCAAAATGAGTCCTAGGAACAACCAGAATGAGTAATTACCTATACTGTCTAAGGATTTACAGATCAATAAATAGTATAAGGGGCATCTACAGTATTTATGTCTCACCCAACTAGGATAGGATAACTATATGACCATCTAGTATAGAACTTTTTCTTAATTTTAACTCAACTAAGGATTGAAAGAGTCTTTAATATATTCAATCTAATAAAGTAATTTCACCTATTACCTCAAATATTCGAAAATGACACTTCCTAGGATCATAGTCCACAGAATGACTCTATTGCTATCTCCTTATAGGGGAGCTAACGTGTCAGGAACTCACCTAAGATACCCAGCATTACCGATGTTGGGGATCTCTTATACAAAATCCTATTGGCTCCATTAGCACTTTAAATTTTTTTCTGGGGGCTTGTGATGTTTCTGATACTGTCTGATTACTTGATTAAGGTGCAGGTCTTGTATGAAGAACATCGATCCCTCAATTGATAGTTTTGTGTATCAAAGCCTATTTTGCTTCTTTCAGAGTTACACTGGGCTGAATTTTTTGACTTATTATGGGCCTGTTTGGTTAGCTCTATAAGTGATCAGGTCCTTCTTCTTCTATTTGAGGAGGTGATCTATTTGTGTTTCTAAAACCTAGCACTACCTATTTTTGGCCATATTGTGTAACCTTGTGTATATCTTGTCTGATTATGGTTGCGATAAGTAGATAGGATTCTTCTTCACTTTCCTGTTAGGTAACTAAGATCAGATTGTATGTGAAGGACTCATATTACTCATATTAGCCTTATATAGAACCTTGCATTAATTTAGTGTTCTTACTATAGGCATAATAAGTGTATAGGTTTTCTTTATTGCCTTATGGAGCACTTGATCATTATTATGGGGGAATAAGATCTTTGTACCACTTTGTGACTGAATTTTCACTTTGGTCCTCATGTGGTATTGAACTTTGAATCTTGTAATTTTGACCTGGAAGTAATACCACTATGCTATCAATCCACTGATCGTAATGAAAACTTGTTTATATTTTGCTATTAATATATTTTATATTAACCAATTAGATACTAGGTGATATTGTATTATTAAAAATTTAAAATCAAGCTGAAATAGATAAAAATTTTCA